CATTTTGATTATTTCACAGACGGCAGGACTCGTTGGACGAGCGATGAGCTCGTCGCAAGGCCTCTACCTAAATACAGCGCAACACAAACACAGAATACACACATACTAAACATCCATGTCTTGTGTGGGATTCGAACTCACGATCCCGGCTTCAGAGCGAGGGAAGACTTCACATGCCTTAGACCGCTCGGAACCCCTGACCGGCTTGTGTTCGGTATGATAGCGAGGCTTGAGTAGTGCAATGGACCTGTGCTCTAAACACATTTGGATGTACGGAGAAAGAGTAAGAAGTAACTCAGGATGGTAGCGGCCTCCGTAGTCTAGGGGTAACGTTTCCACCGCATGACTCAAGGTACGCGGGTTCAAACCCGGCGGAGGTCGTGGAATTTTTAAGGGCGGAAAAAATTCAGGGAACAAGTCCTCCGGGAGGGACTTTAAGCCGTGGGTCCCGTGTCGTAGATTTACGGCACGTAAAAGAACCTCATGTCTCTAGGAGACCTCTGAGCTAAATTAGGCAAATTTTCCCGCCCAAGTAGTTACCAATGCCTCCCGTAGATGGGGAAAGTATTAGGTACCACTGCCAGATGAGGACCGACCTCGCTGACAAAGTGACTAATTATGAGATACCACTGCCAGTAGAGGGCCGACCTCGCTGCTGATAACGGGCTGATAACGGGCACCAGTACCGGTAGGGTATTGAGACAGTAGAAATTAAAGGGGGATGCACAGTGGACCAATAACTGGTCTAAGTGCATGGGGAAACCCACCTCCTCCAACAGTGAATGAATGATTGAATGAACTCAGGATGGTTGATGTGCCTGCAGAATGCGTTGTTACTATGCTAATATGCTCGTATTAGAGCTCAAATTAACGTATGCATTTATCAGTGCGCCTGAAATGAATCCCTTTGTTCTGCTCTGAACACGTAGCTGCCAGTATCAGCTCGCGTTGCGTTGCTGAAGTGTGAAACGGAACCATTGAGTTCGTGTTGCATGTTGCATACTTTTCATCTCTAATGAATGAATGCATAAGCGGTAGGCCTAGACCCACCCTTGTACCGCGACCTTCAGTGATCAGTTGTGTGTTTTCGTCTCTAGTAGTAGTCAATTTTAATACCGATGTATGGATGTAACACAGAACTGTACTCCGGCTCACTGCATGTGGCAAGTTAAGTGTAAGCCTGTATGTTTTCGTAATTACAGTTGCAATACAAACTGGAAAATGTAAGTATTGACTCTGTAGGAGTATGCAGATGTGACTAGGGCTATCATTGTATTATTTTTATTATTATCATTTTTTCGGGGGTGGGAGAGTTTGGGCGTAAAGTGGGAGGTAACGGAAGAGTGGCGTACAAAGTAGTGGTCTTCGAAAATTGTACCCGTTCCTCGAATGTTATTAAGTTTATTAAAACAAGGAAAATGTAATTAGCGGGGAATGTAGCACGCATTGAAGAAACAGGAAGGGCTGCTTAGGATCCCTCAAATGAATAGACCATTGGGAAGGGTAATATTAAGATAGAGCTTGAGGTAGTATATTGTAGATATGTGAGCAGGATTTAACAGGCCGAGCATAAGAGACGGTTGCTGAATTTTATGATGGGAGTGATGAACGTTTTGGTTCCATATACGTCGGGTTGTAGCCCGGCAGCCGTCCTACACCGTGAACTCGGTTGAATTTGTTAGTTAATTGAGAGTTATTGTTATTCATGGAATTGTGATGTGTTGTGGTCTCACCGAAATCCAGTTGGCGTGGAGGAAAAATGACCACATTGCGTAACAAAGGCTTTGTGAAATGAATAAAACATTGGCGACGAGAGAAGTTTGTTACAGCCGTCACATGATGGCACGCTTGTCGCTGATGCACGTGTGGCTCGCCCTTTTGGCAAGAGCAATGTTTTTGGGGCGTCATTTGTTCAGACTCACACTGTTAGTAATTCTGCCCACATGCCTGTTTTTAATTTCTCATACCGAGCAGGCTGGTTTTGAGTAAACCTGCAGCAATGAATTCGGTAGGTGCTGGATTCGAATGATTTTCCCTTGTATCTGAAGGCAGATGCTAGGGTAATACCTCGAGGCCTGAATCACTTCCTTCCAAATCCCCTCTAATTCATCAGCCATCCCATCATCCAACGCTATATAGTCTCTATATTGAAAGCGTCGTTAAATAACCTGCGAAAAAAATTCTCGTACATGATCTCCATGTTTCTGTATCTGCTTTCCCTATGTCCAGCGCATGCGCACATGCGCGCATAATTCTTATGGAAAGAATAAAAGCTTGAGGGATGTTTTGGGGTCCGTAATTTCGCTTATTCCTGTTGCGTCAGTATCAGTAGGCGTGTCTAGGAGTACGAGATGTCCAGCTGAATGCACGGTGATTCTATAAAGTTTTTAGAATCCGGTTGCTTCATTACGCCAGTATTGTGTGGGCTGTTTCTCTTTGTATGCGGTATACACGACATTGGCTGTGCTGACTTTCTGTTGTTAATTTGTTTATAAAATTAAAGCTGCCGCTTGTGTTCGAAGAGATCATCTGTGAATTGGCTAACTGAATAAGTTATTTGTTCAGTCATTTACTGTCGAGCATCTTCATGATTAATTAGTTGACGAAGGGCTGTCTTTTCATCAGTCCCTTACAGTGAAATGTGTGTCGTTAGAGGTGTTGAAGGCAGACAGGCAGAAAGGGCTGTGTTTTTTTGAAAGCTGTTGCTGCGCCGTTAGCTAGGAGTGTGCGCGGGTGGGAAACAAGCTGGAGCAGGGAGGCAGCACGAGCGAGGAGCAGTGGCTCGCTCGGCCCCCGCTCTGTTGTACTGTGCGCCCGCCCGCGCTCCGACCGATCTTGTGTTCGTATCTCGTGAGATACCAAAAATTGTGTTTCCCGATTATATTCATGTTACATAAAGTGATTGACATCGCTAATTCCGAGGTTTTGTGCTAGTGGGCATTGCCCGCCCTCAGATGGGAAGGTATATGCCACGTTTACTGCCTGCGAACGTTGCGAGTGTCGAAATCGACTGAGAGATTCGTCATTGTTGCGTATATCAGTTGATGTATTATTCTTGTCGTTCACGCATCCAAGTTGTGTTTGGTGCAGTCACACGACTCCCGGTTGTCTTGACCACGTAGTGCGACATTTATGATATCAGCAGTACCATCTGCTTTAGGCATACTTCAGTCATTCTGTTCATGTGAGAAGTTAGAAGAATGTAATAAGCATGTTGCAGGATGGCCAGCCTGAATTACCCTTTACCGTTATAGGTATCATAGACGTCTGTTTGTGAATATGGATGCCAGTTGAGTAGCCCCTGTCATGTAGCTATGTGCATATGTGTGTATGACAAATTGCTGAGAACGCATCTGTCAGTTGGTGCCCTGTAATTCTTCATACGAAGCTTTCGACTGGCGAGTTCTGGCACACGTGTCGATGCGCTTGATCGTGTCCTATCATATGGATTTCTAATTACATTTATGTGCTAGAGTTATTTTGTTTGGCTCGTGAAAGATTGTTAGGACGTGTTGTCACTGTACGCGGTGAAATGTCTGTATGGATATAGACATGTGATATTTGTGTGTGTGTGTGTGTGTGTGTGTAGTGGTTGGATTTTGGTGCTGTGTCAGGTTAAGAATGGATTTATGTGGTGCTGCAGGTACATTCTGCCAGATTCTTTTCGTGGCGCATGGTATTTATGCGAGGAACATATTAGTTTGGTTATAAACGCACAAGAATCAGTTTTATATAAGGGCCTGTATAGAAACATGTGTGTAACGTAGAGCTATGCAAAGCTTGTGCAGAACTGCTCATAGCGTTAGATCACGTGGTTCAGTTGCGCTTTTGTGACTGTGATATTTAAATAGATTCTCTTCAGGTGGCTTCAGTAGTCGACCATTCACACTACGTGTATGAATCAAGATGGCGATCGGCGTAGTTTCATGCAGGGTTGTGGCTAGATACACTGCCACACGCGCCCTACAAATGTGTGCATGAGCGTCAGAGGTACCGAGTTATCTACCAGTACGTAAAGGACTGGCACAGTATTCATGACATGGGCCCGTTAGAAAGATGACGATGTATTTGGTAGGAAGGGAATATTTCAGATATAGTAATTAATGTCAGTGATGTATTTGATCGGATATTAGTAAATGTGGTGGGAAAGTTAGCTTAGAGATTGGTCTGAGTTAATTGGGGCGTGACAGAGACATCGCAATATTAGTTGAAATGTGTTTTGTAGTAACATGTTTGGATCGTCGCTGTGTCGCTAATTTGTGAGACTTGCAGTGGCTGTCAGATGTAGAGAAAACGGGCACTGCCATTAATAGCGCAAATTAATAGTTCGGTGACTTTTTTAGTTGGGTGGCCTGTGGTCATAAAAACACATTTACGACATCAGATCATTCATATTTCTACACACCTATGAGTTTCTAAGATTGTGTGCTTTGTTTTCAACATCATATGACCTAGTTTGCTAAATCGGAGGGCTTGCACTCCGAGGGTCACGACGCTGACAGTAGCTACTGCGCAGTCTGTGTGCTTCGTGTGTAAGTACCATTGATGTTAATTTATAAACGATTTAATAATCATCGGATAAGCAATGAATTTGAGATTATTGAAATATTTTTGCGAACACAACACATCGAATTAATTATCATCTCTGTTTAGGGCGTATTTTCAACAGAAAGTCAAGAGACTTTAATTATTTACCTGATCGCCGAATGTCTTAGATTGCCGAATACTCTGAGACACATTTCGGAATTTAATGGACGTTGATTTTCGAAAGTCCCATTACGATATTTTGACTCAAGTTAAAGTAAAACGAAGACCATGTTTTAGTACTGTATATTTCTGTGCACGAGTAATATGAGGGCTTTTGTTACACAAATGGAACTTTGTTTCTATATAAGGAAAGTATTGGTTGAAGTTCCTAAGACGGCAGAGGCATAATAACATGCTCCTGTGAAGATTTTACACGAACGATACCCGGAAATACGGATGTTTTGGTCTGGTTTCGGTTGGTTCTAGAGAAAACATTGTCACGGCCGCTAATTAGGAGTTTATATTTCCATCGGCAGATGGGGATTGGTGTTCACAAGTATAGGAGTGTTGCTACATAAACGAAGTACTCATTGAAGTGTTCAGAAGACAGTGATAAGACGAGATGAACATCTGAACGCTTGCCGTTCTGATGAGTCCCCCAGTAGTCGGGATGGACTCGCTAGAGCGTCTCATGCCAGCTCTTGCAGCCGCCTCTTCAGCCGGGAGCAGCAGTAACAACCGCCCCCGGGGCTCTGGCTCCAGTACAGCCCTTGTACCTGCCGGAATTGGGTCAGCTTCCGTGGTCACTGCCTCCGCCATCGGCCGCAAGGGGCGCCATCTTACGGGCACGTTCTGTCTGACTGGAGATACAATGGAAGGCATCATACAGTGCTTGGTCTTCCTCAAAGCATTCTCGGTGCGTACCTCCTACATACTATAGCTGCATCGATTGATTCATTCTTGAGCTATTTAATAGTGTATCCCAGCCAGATTATATGGTGGTGGTTGCTGTGTAACCCGTTGAAAGTCAACCGACGTTTCGGAGGACCGCATCGCTTCCATCATCAGGATCGAATAAGCCGCGCAAGAGACCAGCGTGAAAGCAGAACCCTGAAGATGGAGGTATCATGTTCCTCCGAAACGTCGGCTGACTTTCAGCACCCTACGCGGCGTTATGTTCCAGAAGATTATACAGAGGTGAACGGTTGGCTGATGTTACTGAAGAATTGTAAAGATGTGTCACAACTTATTTGACGATGCTGTCTCAGAATTTTGCTAAAGGAACGGAGGAATCCCAAGAATCGTCTTGGGATAAGCGGCATACGAAACGGGACTCAAACACGGGGTATCCTGATTACGAGCGTTTCTCTTCGGTTTCTTATATCGAAATTTGAGCCAATTATATAATGGAGATACTCGTAAAAAGTACAGTATTCTGGGATATGACACCGTGCAGCCTGGTAGAATTTCGCTGACGTTTCTGACAGCTCCAGCCCTCAGGGTTGAAGGTATGGTAAACAGGTAGCTGGCTAGAAGATGCCAAGAGTTTTATGCCCTTCATGGTTGGGAAGGCACACTCGCGTTAACAGGTACCCCAGAACATGAGACATGTTTAAGTCCGAGTCTGTTAAGGTTTGGTAGCGCTCAGTAGGTAAGAAGTTTAAGAAGGCTGCACCTCTTACAGCTCTCGTATTCTGAAAGAGAGTTGAGTGTAGGGAACCGAGCTTAAGCTTAATATGGCCCGCGTGCCGCGAGTTGTGCATCATGGGTAAGATGACGTGATCATTATTGAGATGCATAAATATAGTGGGAAGTGGCACTACATGACGAGCATCTTCATGATCCATGTAGATCGCGCGAAACTGCTGCGGTTGGTTTGCAGTGTGAAAAGCATGGAAGGAATTGATCATGATGTATGCACAGTTTGTGAAACAGGCCAAGAATTTTACAGCACGTACTGAATAATACCACGAAAACATCTGCCCGTATATCCGGCCTGGGCCCCGGGAATCGAAAACGAAACTCCTGAATACAAAACACAGTGACAACGACGCTGTGTTATCACGATAATTAAAGTAAGATGAACTTGACTGGAGCTCGAGTGGGAGAAAGAAGAGAAGTATGCATAATTTTCACGGGGAGAATTCTTAGGAAGATGGATAATGAGGCGAGAGAATAACATTAAGATTGTAGGATGCACGAGTAGGGCCTGTGAAGGTCAACAGCATTACAAAATTTGTAATCTGATATAAACCAGGCGCAACAAGGGGATAGAGAGTTAGATTAGAGACATAACAAGTTCTTTATTTTATCTGTTATTTAATGACGCTCTCAGTATGAAGACTGTATCGTCCGTGGGAGGATGATTGATGAATATGGAGCAGTTGGTGAAATGAGAAAATGGAAGGGAAACAGAAGTTTCCACGTGAATCTTCCCCAGTGCCACGTTGTTCACAACAAATCGCATATGATCTGACCTGGGCTTGAACCGCGCCGACGCAGTGAGAAGCCTGCGATTAACCGCTTGAGCCATTGCACGCTCAGTATATTTATCTGAGTCAGGAATAATAATAATAATAATAATAATGTGTGGTTACGATTGTACCCAGTAGTGGACTTAATGTTTACGACCGGTGTGCAACAAAACAAGCACAGAGACTCACAAGGGAGATCAGAGTAGTGGCCGAGCGAGCTGCACTGTGCATGTCGCATGTCTGTTCCACCTACAAAGCTAACACACTTTCTGCATGGCAACTTGTTTCAGTTACAATTTAAAGCCATAGAACAGTGTAACGTTAAAGCAGTGGTATAGGTCCGGACACGGCTGCACATGCAGGATACATCCGACCTGGCGGATGTGTCTTTTGTGAATAGTGATCGATGGCCCTTTTGATGTGTCGTAATGAAAGGTTCAGTGTGGTTTTGTTTCGGTAAGTTGATACAGATCATCAGCAGTTTCCGGTGAATGGCTTCGTTGTTACCAGAACCAGAGGAACTTGCAGTTTTACATTGGATCACGTTTTTATGTGTTCTGTGCACGAATGTATGACGTAGATATCACGTCTGTCTGTGCTCCCACACATTTCTTCTCCAAAACTACTCGCCACATTTTAATTAAAACAGTATCCGATGTCTGCAGTAACTGTATGTATATGTATAAAGATAATTTAATTTCAGCCCTTATCGACCTTAGTAAAACCGCTTCTACACAGCTCAAGTAGACTGTAGTCTGTTTTTACTAAGAACGGCTAATCGCTCAGATAAGTTACGCGTGGCATAGGACGCTCTTATACAAATCATACCCATTTAAAACTGTTATATCACAGTAGTGGAAAAGCCCTTTGAAAATTCAGCGTGGAATAATTTCTTTTATATCTTGTCCCCTTTACTTTCTTTATGCCTCTAATACCTTTACATCTCGTGTCCTCATTTCTGTGTTAAAACAGCAAATTAAGTTACATCTTTATCCTCCACATGACACAGTTTTTAGAACTTGGAGCTGCCCCCGTGTGAGTACGTTAAAACAACTACGGCGTAAGAATATCATAATGTGAAGTAACACACTTGCAACTACTAACAATCTGCTGTTACACATAGGTTTCTAATTTTCAAAAATAAAACGGAAAGCAGATTGTCTCTGTCCAGTGTCACATCCCTCTGCTCCCTGTTTGCAAATTTACTGTATATCTGCAACAGACGAACGCAAAATATGGCTTGTCTGTTGTAGGTTGATTTTTTTTTAATTCGCTTACTGGGAGGTGGAGTCGAACTGGGTCCACTCGGCACGGCGGCCACTGATTGGCCTATTGTAGCCTGCCCTGGGTTATTATGATGATGGAGAATTTGGTGGCATGAAGATTGGCAGGGGAAACTGAAGTACAGGGAGAAAGCCCGCCCCAGCGCCACTTTGCCCTCCACAAATCCCAGTTTACCAGACCCGGGATCGAACTAGGTTGAATTTAATTGTACTGCTAGTGAAAATGCAGGAGAAGTCTGTTCCCCTGCATTTCCTTTACTGACAAACCACAGATATATGTATCATATTGGGAACCGCACCCCCCCACCCCCCCTCACACGCAGACTTTGGTTGTCTGCGAAGTTACAACAAAACATATATGTTCTTCATTTTGGTACATATTTCCGTTCTTACTTTATGTTAGAGAAAGCCGAATGTTAACGTCGAAATTCTACTCATTCACATCGGTATTTAGACCATCCGAGTCTCGAATTCTTGTGCCATACGAAGAAAAATGCCTTACAGGAAGGCAGTTTCGCGTGTTGCTCCTTGAAGGGCATGGACCCCTCGTTGTATTCAGTGATGTCTGGAATGGGAATCGACCTTTCTCGTTGCTACCGAGTCACTCTTATCACGTAACACATCCCATATAGGGTTTATTCGCCTGATCGGTTGATTTTCTCATATAGAACCAGAAGGTCCGTGACCCCAACCATCGAACCCCGCGCCCAGCCTGTTCAGTACAGTTGAAATATTCAACAGCCGGTTTCTTTGGAGTCCGTATTAACCGGAAATGCAATTTAAGCTGTTGTTTACGGTCCAGTAACCTTATTGAGTTCCTTGTGGGATATTTCAACTAGAGCGCTCCGTTTTGTGATGGCCGCTATATTTTAGTACTATATGAATTTGCATAAGGGACGAGAAGTTGTTGCCTGAATAAAGACTGAAGGTTTATGCCACGTTCGCAAGGGCCCGTCAAGTGCGAGGCTGTATCCCCCCGCGCGCACAAGCCACAAGGTGATTGGACACCACTTTCTACTGACTGCCAGTGTGTATTCGGTATATTCCGAGTCGGCAAGGGACCCACATGACATAACTAATGCTACTGTTAGCCGTCTGTATTATCTGCTCCTCAGCGACTCTGCCCCCCCTGCAGTCAGTTACGAAACATCTAGCTGAGATACTGTATATCACCGCGTTCGGGCCCACTTTCTCATCTAACTCCCCGTGTCACCCGCAGGTGTGTATTTGTAATTGCACATCTACACCCTTGGAAGGGTCGGTGAAAATGAATTTTTTATCTCAGGGGTATGTAACGGGTGTGACATGGTGTACACGTATGTGTCTTGATTCAATAATTGCAGAGTTCTGCTGCATTAATTGCAATATTCCAATTTGCCCTTTATGTACACGACACTGCACGCAAATATAAATTCAGTATATTACACTTCACCATTCAGTGGACAGTTGAGACAGTTCCGGTTGCTCAGTCGGATATTACTTAACGAGCCACAAACTGTTAATCATTACACTAATTACTGCATACATACAAGGAGGATTATTACTCACCTCGCGAGTTCACGGCTCTGCTCTTCCCAGCGGCCGGTACGCCGCTTGCCGCGAGATACGTACGAATTTTGCCACTGAATCAGCTGATAACGTTAGGAATGAAGGAAATTAATTAACTTGCAGACCGTTTCACGGTATTGTGTTTCACAGCGAGCAGTGCGGTTCATGTGTGGGAGTTTGTTTATGATTTGTCAGCAGTAGGCAGCAGTTATCAGCTCCATTAGCAATTTGTTCTCAGTTTCAGCTAGTGAGCAGTGTGCTACGTCATGGTGCGATATACTTCAGAGCAGCGTTTATTTCTATATGACACCTATGTGAAATACGGATCCGTTAGAAAGTGCCTGCGAAAATTTCGACGTAAATTTCATGACGAAATAATTCCCAGCAGACGAACACTGCACAATTTAGTGAATAAACTTAGAACAACGAAACTCTTAATAGACAAGAAACAGAAATATAAGCGCCGACTCTTTACTGAGAAGTTATATGACATAGAGTACAGACTTGAACAAACACTAGAAAAAGAGTGAAACATCTTGCTCATGAGACCGGAGTGTCAAAGTCTAGTGCAAGAACGGCAACACAATTGCTGAAGCCATGGAAGTTGGTGT